GATTTTTTTCCTATACTGTAATGTAAGGAATAATCTCCATAAAACATGTGCCTTACATGATGGCTATTACTGTTACTGGCTGTAGAAAAGGTGTCAAAATGTTGGCCTGCAGGCGTCTGTGTGGCTCAGTGGTTGAGCATCTGCCTTTGGTTCAGGCTGTGGTCCCAGGGTCCTGGAATCAAGTCCCACATCAGGCTCCCCATGGGGAGCCTGCTTCTCCCTCTGCCTGTGTCTCTGCCTCTCTCTCTCTCTCTCATGAATAAATGGATAAAATCTTTAAAAAAATGTTGGCCTGCTGTAAACTTGGTTTCAAAATGTAGGACAAGGAAAATGGCCTTTAATTTATAAATACATTAAGGATGAGAATGGTGAAAGGATTACAGTAAAACAAAGATGTATATGTTGTCTCTCTAAAACTGCTTGATATTTGAAGAGGCCATATGGACACTAGAAAAGAACTGACTGTGCCCAAGTTGTCTAATGTTATGTGTAGACTATAACAAAAACTCATACAGAAAAAAAGACTCAGTTTTTGGAAATAAGTCTACCTCAGAACAACAAAAAACTCACCAGAAAGGCACCTAAGTTAAACAAGACTCTCTAATTTCTTCGCTAAAATTTTAACTTATTTGGAATTTAACTTCAATTTCACAAGTTGAAATTCCCTCTGCACTTTAAAATATTTTTCCCTGAAGGAAAAAAATTAATTTATGTTGACATCCAAATGCTTTGGAATGTTAAAAAATGATGAATGTTTTAGTCATGGACAGTTTAGTGAATGAATGTATAGCTGCAAAGGACCTAATTGACTGACAAATAGCTGGTCTACCAAGACAAGCCTCTAGTACTAAGTGAATAGACATTTCTAGAGAACTGAAAACTAACTCCTACACATCTAAAAACCTGCAATTCCTAATAAGTAATACTTAGGAATATTATTCAAACACTTTTTTTTTGAAAGGACACTTATGTTGATGAAACCATACTGGACTGACACCAAGAATCAGTCTAATGTGGGCTTGATAAGACCAGAGATGCATATCAACTGAATGTTATGTTAAACTACATTCAGTTTTACCACTACATAAAAGAAAAGAAGGGGGGATCCCTGGGTGGCGCAGCGGTTTGGCGCCTGCCTTTGGCCCAGGGCGCGATCCTGGAGACCCGGGATCGAATCCCACGTCGGGCTCCCAGTGCATGGAGTCGGCTTCTCCCTCTGCCTGTGTCTCTGCCTCTCTCTCTCTCTCTGTGACTATCATAAATAAATAAAAAAAAAAAAATTAAAAAAAAAAAAAAAAAAAGAAAAGAAGGGTGTCCTAATGGCTGCAGGCAGTTCAGAGAAACATTACTGGGAAAAAAAGACAGAGTAAAAGTATCCTACTGTACCACAAGGCCAAAAGAAACATTTGATTGTTATTTTTTACTAAATATAGGTGATAGATGATATGTCTAATTTGTCATATTGTATTTATATTCTCCTTTTAAAAATGTCTTATATTTATGTATGTTAAGCATATATACTACAGCCTATAAAATTTAAATATTTAAGAATTAAGATAAATTGCTGTAATGGGGACAGAAATATGAAAAATACTGTCATATTTTCTCACACAAAGTATTTACTTAGTCCTACTATTAATGCTAATTGCCACTGTTAACTAGTCCTATTGTTTTGTTTAAATAATAGCGTGTAAGTACAGAAAAGTAAATAATATGGAAAAACATTATTTTGAATATCTATTTTCATATTTTTATATTAAAGTAAGAACACTTTGTGCAATTATTTATTATATATCATAGGTCTTTTCATCTAGTCTAGCTGTGTCCTGTGTTGGCACTCTAGAGGTTGGTCACCCCAACAGTATAGTACCATTTGGACAGGGAATAGAATATAAAAATGGTAATATTTGTAAATTACATAGATAAGAAACTGGTAAACTGTGGTGCCTTCTGTGAAAGATAAATTAGTGTATGGAACATGCCAGAGAGAGTTTCTTTTTCTTATTTTTTAAATATATTTTTAGAACTGTGCACCTTGTGCATGTACTACCTAGTCCAAAGGGAGAAAATCATTATTAGCCTTAAACAGTAATTGCACACAGTGAACTGGGAAAGGTGCCGGTGGAAGCAGAGGGATCAGGGTTCCCGCTGGAAACAATGTGTTAAGAACACGTGGCTCTTGAGGACCTGGCCCCAAATTCAAGATGGCTGCCTGGTGGATGACTGATTCAGATGAGCCTGATGAGGTAAACTGGTGCTCAAAACTGAAGGGTCTTCTAACCCCCCAAAATCAGTATGAATTTGTTTTGTGAAGGAAGCCATTAGAGGGTTTTAAAGAAAGGAATATAATTACGTGATTTATGACTCAGAGATCACTTTGGTTGTGAGAAGAACGTGGGGTAGCTCAATTTTGAGGGCCTATTTCTGTAGTCTTGGTGAGTACCGCTGTTGGTTTGGACTGTTAGCATGGTAGCACTGAATGAGGATGTGGAGACACAGACATGGTGTGACCTTGGGAGTTAGCCCTGGTAAGACTTTCTATATAGATTGAGTGTGGATTGTGGAGAGAGGGATGCATAAGATGGCCAGCTGCTGTTTCTGACTTGGGTAGCACAGTGTGTCTTTTTGGGATGGAGAACACTAGGGCATTGGTGGATTGTGGAAGAATAAGGAAGAGTTCTCTTTGGGGCACTTTAAGCCAAAGATGGTTAACTAATGCATGGGTTTTTTTGGAAGTCACTCAGGTTATTGTGTGGAGACTGGAGAAGGGAGGGCATCTGTGAGGCAAAGTGACAGCCCTGAGTGGGCCTCAGCGGGGACAGAAAGAAAACTACTCGGGGCCAAGGGACAAAGCTAGAGGGGCTCTGGCAGGGATTCTTGCAGGCCCGCAAAGTCTTTAGCTTTTCATCAGTGTGAAATGGGTGAGAATGACAGGACTTTGAGCTTGATGAGAGTTGACCAAAGGCTTGCTGTGTAGAGGGCAGACTATAGGACAGAGTTGCCAGATTTAGCAAATAAAAATACAGAATGCCAAGTTAAATTTAAATGTGAGATCAACCACAAATAATTTTGCAGATAAGTATAGCCCATGTAGTATTTGGGATATACTTTAGCTAAAAATGTATTCGTTGTTGATCTGAGAAATTTAACTAGGTGTTACTTTACTCAAGCAACCCTATCACAGGGGCAGGTGGAGGGAGCCACTGCAGGCATTACAGGGAAATGAAAGGGGGCAGAGTAGCAGCAGGGAGGATGTGAGGAGGGGCCACAGAAAAGACAAAGGTGACCCATTTGGTACATTTTACCGGAGAACAACTCTAGGAAGACGAGCTTCTTGGCCCTTCCAAGTGTTGGCCAAGGGCTCCTCAGGGAAGGCTTAACTGTCTCTTCCAAACCTCCTGAGACCGCGGCTTCACTGCTAGCCCTGCTCCCCTCAGCCTCCACACGGTAGAGTAGCAGCTGAAAAGCAGCAGGCCGCGGGGCGGGCGCTGTAACCCCGCCTTCCGCACCCCGCAGGGGTGGAGCCTGAGCGAGGAGCCTGCGAGCTGCCCTCTCTCCCCGGATGACGGGTGGCAGGATAACATGGAGTCGGGCAAGATGGCGCCTCCCAAGAACGCTCCGAGAGATGCCTTGGTAAGTGCGAAGGATGAGAGGCGGGGCATGAAGCTCCGCGCTGCTAACATCTTGGGAGGCAGGCCCTGGCGGAGGGCCTCAGGCTGGGCGCGTGTGCCCGCTTCAACCCAGTCGGGGCGGCCGGAAGGAGTGGGATACCGGGGTGCCGTGGACCCCGGGGCGCTTCTCCGGTAGCCCCGCTAGGGGGAGGCTCGCGGCCCGCCAGAGTGCGCGCAGTCCAGCCACCCGGCTTTGTCTCCTGGGCCTTGGGCTCCAGACGCTATGTCGTCTCACCAGGTCTGTGAGCCCGGACTCTCACGTCCAGTATTCTGATGCTAGCTTCCCCCATCGCCACATCCGAAAATGACAACCAGCTGTAGCCTTCCCTGCCTTTTCAGGTGGGAAAGATAACCCAGGCCTTTTTCTTCTCCTTGCCCCCGCCCCCACCCCCGCCAAAAAAGTTTTCAGAGATTAGGACGGGGTTTGGTGTGATCCTGACACTCACTTGAGAGGAAAAGTATATGAGTACAAGTCTGGAGCCCAGAGAACGGGGACCTTTTATCTTAAACATAAATGCTACCTTCGGTCTAGTCTTAATTTCTAGTACCTAGATTATGCATCTGGCGTTTTTATTTGAATCCACAGGTGATGGCACAAATCCTGAAGGATATGGGAATTACGGAGTATGAACCAAGGGTTATAAATCAAATGTTGGAATTTGCTTTCCGTAAGTTAAAACACCAAAAATTTGCCTAACTTGTGAATTTGAAAACATTCTTTTATCGTAAGAATATTTTCAACTAAATCGTTTTAACAATTAATATCACAGAATTCAGCCTAAAGCAGTAAAAAGGAGCTCAACCTATGGAAACAGTAGTATTTGTACTGTGATATCATTTAAAATTAGTCATATTGCTAGGACAATTAGATACTAGAACCAAAATTCATAAATTTTCTAGAGGCTAGAAGAACCTTCCATTAACAAAAGTGACCATAAATATTAAGCTGTTTCATGTTTAATAATGTTTTGTTCTTAAAGGATATGTGACTACAATTCTGGATGATGCAAAAATTTATTCAAGTCATGCTAAGAAACCTAATGTTGATGCAGATGATGTAAGGCTGGCAATCCAGTGTCGTGCTGATCAATCTTTTACTTCTCCTCCCCCAAGAGATGTGAGCAAATTTATTTGAAGTTCATTTTACTTAAAATTTCCTAAATTGTAGTTCTTTTTTTAATAATAAATTTATTTTTTATTGGTGTTCAATTTGCCAACATACAGAATAACACCCAGTGCTCATCCCGTCAAGTGCCCCCCTCAGTGCCCGTCACCCAGTCACCCCCACCCCCCGCCCTCCTCCCCTTCCACCACCCCTAGTTCGTTTCCCAGAGTTAGGAGTCTTTATGTTCTGTCTCCCTTTCTGATATTTCCTTTTTTTAGTTTTTACTAGATATTGCAAGGCAGAAAAATCAAACCCCTTTACCACTGATTAAGCCATATGCAGGACCCAGACTGCCACCTGACAGATACTGCTTAACAGCTCCAAACTATAGACTGAAGTCCTTAATTAAAAAGGTAAGAATTTTTAGTCAACAGTTTTTTTTTAAGGTGAGATGTGTTAGGGGAATTTGTAAAAAAGCAGATCCTGTAGATAGATTATAGATTAAAGACTAAAATAATTTGCTAAGATTTTTTAAATTTATAGCCTTGAAAATACCATGTCTGCAATTAGCTACTACGTTAACATATAAGATCCAAGATTTTTAGAGCTAAAAGGAACTTTAGTGTTCATCTAATTCAGCAATTAGTGTTCATATCAAGGACTTGATCCTCAATTCATCTATGGAGTTAGTAGCAAAGCTCAGACTGATTCCCAGGTCTCATAACTGCCAGTATTTCCACTATATCAGTTCTTTGTGGCACCTGGTAACAGAGTAAATTATGTACCATCAGGAATTGGACTTGCTTTCTGAAATACAACCTAAGGCTCTCCCACCACTGAAAAAGTTCTCCCCATATATTCAGCTAGCTGCCTTTGTTGTCTGAAATTCTCCTACAAAAGAGTATCTTTCTTTTTAGGTTAAGATATTGACTAGTTAAGATTAAAAGTTGTTGTAAGGATGTTAACTGTTATCCCCAAATAAGACTCTACCCTAAACAAACTACATAGAATTTTATATGTGTGTGTTCATATCCATGTTCATATAGATATGTATTATGTTTATATATGTTTGTAAAGACCCTAGTTTAAAAGTTGAATTTAAAACACTGATGGGAAAAAATAAATAAATAAATAAATAAATAAATAAATAAATAAATAAATAAAAAATAAAAATAAAAATAAAAAAAAAAATAAAACACTGATGGGAGAGATCCCTGGGTGGCTCAGCGGTTTAGCGCCTGCCTTTGGCCCAGGGCGCGATCCTGGAGTCCCGGGATTGAGTCCCGGGATCGAGTCCCACGTCGGGCTGCCAGCATGGAGGCTGCTTCTCCCTCCTCCTGTGTCTCTGCCTCTCTCTCTCTCTGTCTATAATAAATAATAAATAAATAAACCTTTAAAAAATAAAAAAAAATAAAACACTGATGGGTTGGGCAGCCCGGGTGGCTCAGCAGTTTAGCACTGCCTTCAGCCCAGGGCGTGATCCTTGGGACCTGGGATCGAGTCCCACGTCGGGCTCCCTGCCCGTGTCTCTGCCTCTCTCTCTTTCTCTGTGTCTCTCATGAATAAATAAATAAATAAATAAAATCTTTAATAAAAAAACTCATTTTTTTAATCCCTTAGGGACCTAACCAAGGAAGACTAGTTCCACGGTTAAGTGTTGGTGCTATTAGTAGTAGACCTTCCACTCCTACTGTAGGTGAGTGAGAGAATAAAATGACTTTTCTATCTGGTAAAGAAGTGCCTCGGCACTTGATTTTGAACAATAATCCAAGTCAAAACCTGAGTCAGAAATTCCCAAATATGTGTTGTCATTGATACATTTACTCATCCTCTAATAAAACTATAAACATATATTTGACCAGATTTCAAAATGAGAAAGCCACAAGGAATATCTTGCCCAAATGAGTATAAAATTAGACATTACCCAACGTTGTCATTGGTATAGGCTGAGTACCAAAAACAGTTTAAGCTGTGTTCTGCCTCTGTACAAATCAGGCTGCCAGACACTCAGTGCAGTAGCCTACTTGTCAGAAATTGAAGGAATTTGAGTAAACTGGCAAGAGAATGCAACCAAAAGAAAGAACTTTAAAATGTGCAAGAAGCTTAAGTATATCAAATTTTAAAATCAGTATTTTTAATACTAATCTTTTCTAAAGTAGCACTGGCCATCCTATATTGCTCCTTCAAGCTGTCTCCTGTGTCCCTTGTGACAGGTCTCCCTCCCATCATTCTTAGAGCATTTCTTGCTTTCTTGCACATGTTCTAAGCTTCTTTACCCCAGTCCTGCAACCAGCCACTTTCTCCAAAGAGCCCTGGTTTCTTTTAGTAGAGAATGGTACTTAGAAACCATTGCTTCCTTTTAATGTCATTGTTTAGGTAATAAAACACAAATGGATTTGGATTTCCTGATTTCTTTGTCCTACATTCCTGCTGGATTTCTTTCAAAATTGAAGTATTTTCAGAAATTATCCTTCTCTTTGACCAGTATTGATTTCTTGGAATGCTCTTATGGTTTATAAATTTGAATCCTACAGATGTCATATAGCTCTAACATAAGTAGCATTTGATTTTTGCAGTGTGTAGACAATCTCTTCATATTTTCATTTTAACATTTTAAAACCAATCTGGTATATTATACACTTCTAATTTACCTTCATGTGAACTTTGTGGACAGAAATTTACATATATAATTTGTGCAACTTTTTGGTCATATATTATTTGTGGATTCATACTACTTCATTGAATACCAGGTTTAAAAACAAAACTCTAAGCTGTGGTAATCCGTTACACATGTTGGCAAGTTAACCAATTTTATTTTTTTTAAGATTTTATTTATTTATTCATGAGAGACACAGAGAGAGAGGCAGAGACACAGGCTGAGGGGAAGCAGGCTCCATGCAGGGAGCCCAATGCAGGATTTGATCCTGGGACTCCAGGATCACAATCTGAGCCGAAGGCGGCGCTAAACTGCTAAGCCACCCAGGCTATCCAAGTTAACCAATGTTAGTTATCAGTTGTGATTTTTATCCCACTTAGACATTTATTATACATGTTTTAGAGATTTTTAAATCTAGAATGAGGGAGCCACTAAAACCTAGATATAAGTTTTAAACTTTAAAAAAATTAATCTTATAAAGCATTCAAGATTTAAGCATCTACTGTGTTCAATTTTAAAGCCTAAATTCCATACTTAAATTGTTAACAAATCCTTATGGTAATGGCCAAGAAAACCTCTACCTATTGTGAATTTCCTTGACAAAATAAATACATAACACTGTTTCATTAAGCTTCACCAAATTCTTTGAACCAATCCTTCATCAGAAAACTTGACTAGGAATGAAGATATGTCAGAGTAAGGCCTCACATTCTGAGTTGGGGAGAGAAAGCACTAGAACCAGATTCCTGGGTACCTTTGAGCTTTCTTCCCCCATTTCCCCATTTAAACTTTCTTCCTCGTTGTCCCTGGGGAGGATAGTTGTAGCTTTTTCAGCAACTCTTCCCTGGGCAGACTGCTGGTTCCAGGGGAAAGGACGATGTATGGAAAGCCTGAATCCCCAAAGGAAAAACTAGGAACAGACATGTTTCTATAAATATATATTTTTAGAGAGCTATATTGTCAGTATATCTTTGAGTCTTGCAAAATTCATTCATTAAGCAAAAATTTGTTGAGTGCCTATTAGGAGTAAGGCACAAAAACCATATGCTCATAAGGATAAAAAAGTGTCAGCCAAGGCTTATAATCTTGAGAACAAGATAAGATACTAATAAAGGCTCCTATAACAAAGGAATTTCAGAGGCAGGCAATGACTTCTGAGCAAATCAAGGAAATCTTATAAAATAGGGTGGTATTTGAGTTGTACCTGGAATAATGGGTAGAATTAAGATGAGGGGAGTTTGGACTAAATTATCTCCAACATCCCTTTCTGCTTAAAAAAATACCTGGATATAGAAAAGGAATAGGACTGGGATGCCCGGGTGGCTCAGCAGTTGAAGGTCTGCCTTTGGCTCAGGGTGTGATTATGGGGTCCCAGGATGGAGTCCCACATCAGGCTCCCTGCAAGGAGCCTGCTTCTCCCTCCCTCTGCCTATGCCTCTTTCTCTGTGTCTCTCACAAATAAATAAAATCTTCAAAAAAAAAAATAAAAAAGGAATGACTTTCGTGCTCACCTGGGGACCCTAAGAGGTATATTTGATGGGCTTTTTGTTACTTGCATGTTGATTTAGCTTCACAAGCCTAGTAGACATCTTCTAATTCTCAGTGAAATAAATTAAAAATGCCACCTAAGGTAATGAATAGCAAAGTTGGGTCTTTATTCTGCTAGTTTTAGACATCCAATTTCACAACTTCATGTAGCTACAATTCAGTGTCAGATGCTGTTTGAAGAGCTTTAGGTAGATTATTTTAATTTTCACAAGAATTTTATGTAATAGGTACTGTTATCCCATTTAACAGATGAGAAAACTTAAGTACTAAAAGATTAAATAACTTGCCCAAAAACATTCAGCTAGTAGATGATAAAACTCGGATTCAAACTCAAGTAGGTAGGCTCCAAAGCCTACATTCTTTACCACTATACTATCCTCTGAATTTGTAGCATTTATAAACTATTGAGCTTGTACTTTGCTTATTTTGATGATTTTTCTCACCTTTATTAGTTCCCTGTGCTTTGAAGGTAGTTTCTGATATGCCAAAGAGTACAAAATAATGAAGTTATGTAACTAACATGGTATGTTAATTACAACTACAGCAACCCCACAAACAGCATCTGTCCCAAACAAAGTTGCACCTCCAGTGTCAGTGACAAGCCAAAGATTTACCGTGCAGATTCCGCCTTCTCAGTCTACACCTGTCAAATCAGGTAACATGATGGGCGGCAAGTGGGGGTAGGGGTGTTGATAGTGTTTTTCTTTTTTAAAGTTTTTCTGAATTTTAAAATTTGTGAATAATTTTTGATTATAGAACAGTTTATATTCCTATAGCAAGAGTTGTTTTAATATCATACCAGGAAGGTGGCAGTAATGCTACAAATCAGGGTTCTTCAGAAGGGCCTATGAGCCTACTAAAATTGTATGAAATTTTACATATATGTAATGTTTTGATAGGAGAGAGTATTCAGAGCAATCATCAGATTCTCAAAGAACAATGAATTAAAATAAGCTAGGGTCCACAAATCTAAGGCATTTTCAGGGAAAAGCACTAGGGTCAAAGCTCAAGAAAATAATATAACTTAGTGTATATCAAAAATTATACCTTTACTTCACGGAAGGATACATATAAAGTTGGAATAATATATAAGTAAAATTCTGCTATAGCATGATTTATTACTGCATATATTTAAAATTTACATCTTCTGAAACCTAGCTGTACATAGTAAACTACTTATATAAAATATTGGCATATAAGGGAAATGTGATTCCTAATCTTGAACATGGGCCTTTAGTATGTTCCATGAGAAGTCCAGTGCACTGCTTCCCATGGCTAAGTACTAACTAAAATTTTAGGTAGTTAAGTTTAAAAAAAAAGAACTTTAATGTTGTCCTAGATACTAGTTTAAGTACTTTAAAGTATTAAAAAATTATATCCAACTCTTAATGCAACATAAATACCCATTTCTTCTATGATGTAATTGCAATTCATGTTATTAAAGTTCTTATTAGAATTATATTTTGCCTTGTTGAATACTATTTACCAGGTTTCTGATTTGGGGTAATTCAGTTTGAGGGTGTTTTCTCCTGTTTACAGTTCCTGCAACAACTGCAGTTCAAAATGTTCTGATTAATCCTTCAATAATTGGGCCCAAAAATATTCTCATTACCACCAACATGGTTTCATCACAGAACATGGCCAATGAATCAAACCCATTGAAGAGAAAACACGAAGATGATGATGATGATGATGATAATGACACTATGTAAAGAATACAATCAAGATGTATTTCAAATGTTGGTTTGGAGCCCATTATACTAAACTAGAATATTCTATCTTCTCAAGTTTTATCTTAGAAAACTTAAAAGTAGCTGCAGTATTTTTCATATTAGCTTAAACTGTTAGATTTCTCTTTTTTAAACTGTTAGATATCTTAAGTAAGCATACCAATGCTTTTTCATTAGGCTTCAAGTAAAGAAGTATTTGTTTCTTAATATTTTGATTAATGTTGAATTCTATAACAATTTTATATTTGGAAGCAGTTTTCTGCCATGTATTATCACGGACAGTAGCACTCAAGTGTCAGCTTCTACAGCCTTATCAGTGGACATTAGTACAGCATAATTTCTAATTTACATTTAAATACTTTTGTAAGGTAAAATAGTCACAATTTTGGTTTTCACCAACTTTTTTGACCAAATCTCTAAATTTAGGAAATATTTTTTGGAAAGGATAGATTTAAAGGGATTCTAAATTCATTTTGAGTGTATTTGTTTCTTGGTATTCCCTAACTTCCCACCTCCTCAACCCAGTTTCTAGATCCCATTCATTTCTGTATCACCTCTTCCCCATAGGCCTAAGTTTCTACCAATACTCTTAGAAGGCCAAAACTTGAACTTAAAAAGTGTAATTCCTAATAGTACAGAGTTCAGTGTCATTTTCCTATTTTTAAAACCTGCTTTACATGCCTAAAGGTTTGCTTTGCTGTTTTTCTCTCCATATTAGAGCAGTTGAGTTTTATCCATTGCCTTTTATGCTGTTTGGGCTTTCCTCTGCTTTTAACAGGTAGTTTTGGGTCAGTTAGTTTGTCTTATATTGCAAATGGATAACACCACATATTTCATATTTCTAATGTTAACAGAGATGCCATAGCTTAAAATCTGCCTTGAAAAGTATATTTACACTGGACCTAGGCAGAAACCACTAAAGAGCAAGTGTTTTTTTCCTACCATACATACATGCTATGTTCACTACTGCTTGAACTCTTCTATTGATATAATTCATTTTTCTAGCTTGTTGCTGAGGATATCATACATGAGATGGCATCAGACCTGAAAATCCTCTAGAAGGCCAACAACAAAATCAAATCAGTGTAATGTGACCTGCATTTAGGTGTACTATGCATAGGTTTCCTGGTAATGTTGCTAAACACCTTTCATTATTTTCCACTTATACACATGTAAGCATCTTAGGGGAAAACATTGCAAAGCTTTCAAAAATATAAATAGGCTTGTTGTTTTTAAGTAAGTTTGACATATTCAATATAGGAATACTTTTGCAGTTTTCTAAAATAAATTTTCATATATCATAATTTAGAACTTACAGCCAAGGATCCTCAAACTTAAAGCACAAAGTTTCATGTTAGGATGGTGCTTGATACATTGAAGAGAAATAGTCCAGTGACAGAGAAGACCTGTCTTATCACAGTTTGAGTGTTTTTAGATACTAGGAAAAAGGTGGTATCAAACTTATAAAAACAGGTCCAATCATGATAGGAGAAAGATGTTCATTATATAGCATAGGATTATCATTACTTGAATGTTCTCAGGGAAGCAGCATGTCAAAAAGCCTAGGTTCTAGTCCTGGCTCCATCAATTACCAACTATGTGACCTTACTTCACCTCTGAACCTAGTTCTCAGTAATAGAAAAATAACACCAACCCTGCCTACCTCACAGGGATGTTGTGAGGGTTTAATTGGTATATGAGAAAATTCTGTCAAAATTGTAAAATGGTTTATAACACCAAGAAAGTGTTAATGTATTTGTTCTAAGATTATTAATAAAAAATTGAACTTACCATTTATCTTTTATTTCTGATTTAAGGGATTCAAAGATGAATAAGATCCAGTAATTCTGAGGTCCAACAGGCAATTAAGATTTAATGGGTGACTTAATCTTAAATCAGGGAATTGCTTGCTTTTATTTGTAATCAGCATGTAACTCATAGTGAAGCAAAATAAAAATGATGAGGCTTAAGTCTGTTAAAAACGTAACATGCTGTCATTGGTAGGAATTTGTACATATAATTGAGGCTATAGTCTGAATGTTCATCCACTTGCTAGGTCAGCCAGTCTTCAAATGAAGACTGCTTTATCTTGCAGAACTCCCTTCCCTAATTAGGTCTACCTAATATAGCTTCTAGAAGGACTTAAGGCAGTTCTTGTCCTCCAGCTTCCAGGTAGATTTTTTTTAAAAGGCATACTGATGATAAATGTGGTGAGGACATTGTTGTCCTTTTACAAGTTCTTCCTTTTAAAAATAGGAAACAAGTGTTTTTGATCTGAGTATGAATATAGGAATACAGCCAGTAGTGGGGAAAATAGAAAACATAATGCACACTGGTCCTAAGGAGTCCTGAGTGAAAGGAAGTACTCGAGAGTTAGGAAAGACAACACTAATCAGAACAGCAGGTACAAAGCAGTGTGTAATATATTAACTACCATGTTTTAATTCGTATGTATACATATACATGGAAATATGCTTTTATATGCATTAAGTAGCTCTAGACCAAAGGAAACCATTCTGAACAGTGGCTATTTCTAAAGAGGGAAACTGGTAGCTAAGGGACTAAGGTAAGAAGGTGTCTTTTCATTTTATACCCCTTTTTGACTTTTGTATCTTGTGCCAGAGGGGGGTTTGGGACATAAAAAGGAAAACAAGGGAAGCAGGAAACACTGAGCTTAAGAGCTTGAATTAGTTTCTGACACAAAGATTGTCATTTCTCTGTACAGGCATACACATCTATGCTACACTTATGCCTAAATCTTCACAATATTTTATCAAAAATTCCTAATTCTTTATCAAATCAGGAAGCATATCCTTATACTATTCTAGTTTATGTGCTTATAAGTTAATCTTCCTCAACGAGGTTGTAAATTCCTTCAGGACATAAATGCTATCTTAGATTTCCTCCATTATGTACTAAGCATATTGCAGGTACTCAAATATTTGGCTATTTATGTTTCCCCATCCATTCTCTGGATTAATGACCCAAATAAATGGGGAATGATCCTGAAAGCAGGGTCTAGTAGAAAGCACTTAAAAGGTACAATCAGGGATTGATGGATGGATGGATGAATTGGCAGTTGTGGAATCGAAGTGCTAGGTTTATTGGTATAAAATTATTTTAATCCCTCTGTACATATGAAATAATAAAATACTGAATCGAAGTGCTAGGTTTATTGGTATAAAATTATTTTAATCCCTCTGTACATATGAAATAATAAAATACTGAGGGAAAGGTGATCAGTAGGGGAGAAAAGTCATCGGTATGCTAGAGTTCTAGCCAGGCTGTGACATTAATTTGCTGGATCTATGTAGCACCTCTGGGCCTCCTCTACAAAAATAGATAGAATTCCTGCTTCTCATACTAGGGTATACTGTACCCTGTATGCAGAAACAAGGTACATTTTAAAATTAACTACAACTGTGGGGACAGTATTAAGATGCAAATGAAGTTTTAAAAATTTCAAGTCTTCAAAATGGTTTTGTTTAAAGCAACCACCAAAATTTTCTTCTGCTATTCTTTCCAGAGTTAAACAAATAATCCTAGGCTAGAAGTATCATTTCAAGGAGTGGGACACAATGAAAAAGCAGCCTTCAGAATCAGACAAACCTGGATTTGAATCCCTGCTGTTGCCTACCATCTCTGTGATCCTCCAAGAGTTTATTTCTCTTCATAAAGGTGAAATACACATCAATTATGTAAAATACTCAGCAGAGGAATTCTGATTAAACATGGCCTTTTGAAATCCCATGTTTACCTTTGCTCACTCCCAAAACTCTATTAAAATAGCAGGAAGAGAAAGGACGGGAAAGTTACAAGGACAAACGAATCAGAATGACATTAGAATCACTTCTCAAAGACAATTATCATATGGTGTCACTCATATGTGGAATATAAATAATAGTGAAAGGGACCAAAAGGGAAAGGAGGGAAATTGAGTAGGGAATAGAGAGGAAGACTCCTAACTCTGGGAAACAAAGGGTTGCAGAGGGGAGGTGGGTGAGGGGTTGGGGTAACTGGGTGACGGGCATTAAGGAGGGTACATGATGAGATGAGCACTGGGTGTTATACTATATGTTGACAAACTGAATTTAAATAAAAAGAGATGATTATATTTAAAAAATAAAAATCACTTCTCAGCCTTTTAGCTAAGATCAAATGCAGAATGTCATTAGATTTTAAGCAATGACAATAAAGCAAAGCCTTTAAGTCTGAGAAACTGATATGTAGGCGGACATTCTACATATAGCCAAACAAGCAAGTATTAGGGGGTTGAATAAAGATATGTTCAGACATAGGTCTCAAAAATTTTGCCTCCCAGGTATTCTTTCTCAGGAAGCTAGTAGTCTTGTGTGTCACAAAAAGGAAAATAAACCAAGAGGGTGGGGGAGGGATCCAGGAAAGGGGAGATCCAACACAGGAGGTAAAAGGAATCCCCAACAGGGTTACCCCAAAGGGATTTCTTCAGAAAGGAAATCCCAGAGCAACAGCTATACAGCAAACTTAGAAGGCAGCCAGGGCAAATTGGAGTGGAAGCACAAAGGACTCCAGGAGGGATTATCTCTAATAAAAATGAACAGACTTATAAATCTGAACACACTGGGAATGAATAAGTACATAGAAAAAAAAGAAAACTTAAAAACTTACTAACACCAAAGAAAATAAAAAGGTACATAACACAATCATAGCATACAACATAGCTCAGCTGTGAATACTTTTAATCACAATATACACTATTGATCTAATCTAAGATTGTAATAAGACTATACTGGGCAAATGAAGAAGGGCAAGTATATGTGGAACAGAGGCTATAAGAGCTAAATCTTCCCATGTGTTAAAGTAATAAATAGTTTTTTATAAAAATCAAATTAAAAGTATGTTACTTAGGAACATGGAAGTAAAAACCCGAAAATGCTAAGAGGTAAAAAGCAGTCATCTCTGGGGAATGGGAATCACAAATCGGAGGAATGGGCTGAAGCCTCCATTTTGTTGTTGTAAGCCTGAACTTTTTAAACTATGGTCATGTGTAACAGATAAAAATAAAACCTAAAATAAAGCACATGTCACATTATGTGCCATAAAGTAGGACCTCAGTAAAAGAGTAGAGGTTTATCTAATCTCCCCTACCACCCCCACCAATGCTGTCCCATTTCTTGCATTCAGAATGTAGCTGATTTGACAGATTTCTCGAGATTCTGTTCTCACCCTGACAAAGTATAACAGGAAAAAAAAATCCATTTCAGTGGATACTTTTATTGATTTAATAGATCACCAACTTTGTCTCCCTACCTACCTACAATTGGAATTTCATCTTATTTCCATGCTGAGTAGTGAAACAATGACACAGCTATAATGAGAATAAGCTACTTCAAAAAGAGAAGCCAACACAGCTCATTTTCTTCTAACAAGCAAAATATAAATATATGCACTCTAGAATGCACAATGGTTTAGTCACTAAGAAATTCAAATGGGATCCTGAAGAATGTAGGCAAATCCAGGGTGCAGTAAAGAGAAGCTGAGATGCTGTGCGCCTGTTTAAGGGTTCCTGGTACTGCATCTCTTGGCCACTAGCTGAATCTTGACATGAGGGAAGATTTTAGCTAATGCCAAGGAGAGATGCAGCAAGTGCTAGGTTGACTTAGGGGCTGTGCACAGGAACCAAAAGGCAGGAAAGTACTAAACACTGCTGAGAGCATCCACCCCAGGAAGGACTTTACCTGTTTTTGAGAGAGCACACATAGACAGCATTACTGTAAGACCCACTGAGCCAGATACGCCTATCTTCCCAATAATACATCCCTATAATATGTCTGCTCTTCCTTAGGATATATGACCAAGACTTGGGTGACTTTTACATCTTGTGTCCCAGGTCTACTTGAGTATAACCTCTCTGGAATAAGTCTTCTTCTCTGCCCCTCCCCACACAAAATTGATGCCAAGAAAATTATCTGAAGTTCCTCCATTTGTACTGCCCAGATAATAATGAACACTAATAATAATACCACGTACTATCTCCACTCCATTCTACCCACCTGTCACTGCATCACCCCAACCTTTCCCCCAACAAGTCCAATAACAGGAAGAATCTCACCTTCCAAGAGTTCTAAACTCGCACCACCCCCAGTGCTCACATGGCTGACTTTATCCTCTGTGTTCCATTTGGCACAGCAAGTGGCAGTGTCTCCACCACCTGTTGAATGAAAGCAAAGTTAAAAGGAGAGAAAAAAAAATTAAAAAGGACTGGCACCAAACTATAAGACAGTATGCTCTCTTTTTTAAAGATTGTATTTATTTATTCATGAGAGACAGAGAGAGAGGCAGAGACATAGGTAGAAGGAGAAGCAGGCTTCTCAAGGGGACCCCGATGTAGGACTTGATCCTGGGATTCCAGAACCATGCCCTGAGCTGAAGGCAGAGGCTCAACCATTGAACCACCCAAGCATCCCAAGGCAGTATGCTCTTAAGCCCAAAAGGTAGATGATGAATCCCCAACTCCATCTCATTAAGAAGGCCCTCCATGAATTGTACATCCGTTCAGCTCTTAAGATTCATCTGGCACCAAGAAACCCAATAAAAGTTGATTATCTCCCTTCAACTTTCCTCTGATCAGAATTCTGCCAGATTACACTGGCATTAACTTTGTAAAGGACCCTTTACCTATGATGGTGATGCAGCCCCTAGCAGTGGCTTTCACCACCTCATCCATGAGGGCTTTGGTTCCTTGAGCAAAAGCTTCCCATTCAAATACACCCACAGGTCCATTCCACACGATCTGCTTAGCCCGAGCAAC